AGTTTGTGTGTGTGTGGGGGGGGGGGGGTTAATTCAAAAACTCGAAAAATCTAACACACGATTCTACAAAGTATGATTTAAGAGCAGCTTCTTTAAGATGTCAAGATCATGTTCACAAATACACCTCCCTGAACTGATGAACTGTGGACATGATGTTTACGCCCACTAGATTGTCTACATCTGTGACTAGACCTCGCATTTCTTCAACAAATACTTGCAGTTCTAACCACAGTTTCTCATCGATTTTTCCGCACAAGAGACAGTTAACTAGAAATGCAGTTTTTAAATCTTACGACATATTTTTAAAACCTTGAAAAAAACTAGGTCATGTGGAATTCCCGATGCACAGCACTTAGCCTGTAGTGTCTATTACCTAACAATAAAGCCGTGTGATCTAAGATCAATAGAGAGATGAGTCGGGAGCCGCTTCTATCTTGATCTAATCTAGCTACGTCTTTGATGCGCCTCTTAATCGGATCTTCCCGAAAACGGTGAGGTAATGGCGCACAATGACATAAGCTTTGGCTTGTTGGTCAGTGAAGAGTATACAAATTAGACTACTAGGAAAGCAGCTAATTCCCTGAGATTGCGATACGCAACGTCGAATGAAAAATTGATATGTAGTTACAAATGAGAAATTTGCAGTTTAATATTTTAGCTAAATATATTGAAGATATTAAGCTGACATTTGTGGTTATATTTGCCGAAAGGTTTTCTACATAACCGCATAAAGTACAAAACTAGATTAACGGTTTCAGAAAGCTTACATGAATTAGAAACCTGATGTAATTAATTAACAAACTTAGCGACTTTTTTAGAGGTTATGTGAATTCACTTTCTGTGTAATTTTTATTAGCGGTGTAAGGGTGAGGGGGCATCTTAAACATTTAGTTCACAGTTAACTTGATATGTCTGAACTTTAGGTTCACAGTTTTACCGCGAGATATCTGACCTAAATAAAGACACTCCAGAAAGGAGATTTATGACGAAATGTGACGGTCGAGGGGTGGGTTGTGGGGGGGGGAGTGTTGGAGCAGGGGTATTCAGAAAGTTCAAGGTCAAAAGTTTTAAATTTTAGAAAGTGATATTTTAAAGATTTTAGCAAATATCCCACCATTTATAAAATACATTTTTAGTAAACTTTATTTTTAAAATATGTTGGCCCAGCCTAGAAAACCTTTTAGAAAAAAAACAAAATGCACTGTGGACTTAGGGTTGGCTGAAGTGTAATGTCATTTGGGGGGGGGAGTGTCTGTCGTTTTGTGTCAATGTATGATGAGAAGGGAGTAAAGATCGACGTCAGTAATGTCCGACCCCCAAGACTCTTGGTCCACTCTCTAGCAGCGAGCTGTTTGCTCTCGATGTATTTCTGAAGTAGGTAAACATTCCACCCAGATTTTGATCCCCGGACAAAAATCATTTGTCAAACCTGGACAAACCTGTCAATGCGCGCAGAACTTGTGACAAGCGCAGGAGGAATAAAAATGTCGAAATGATTGCCATCTTTCTAGCGGATATTTTTAAAAATTACTTTACGCTTCGTCTCCTTAATAGGTCAAACAAATACGGGCTTCAACTTCAAGAGTTCAAATACAAATTTCTTTTTTCCGTAGGATTATTTTTGTTTAGTTTTATTCTTTCCTGCATATCTGTATTTATATTATTCAAGTCCATATGGTCTCCTATTTCTCTCTCTCTCTCTCTCTCTCTCTCTCTGTGTCTCTCTCTATCTCTCCTTGTATTCTTCTCTTTCTCACAGCTTTAATCTATATTTAAATCTTTTATTATTTCTATTCGCGGTTCTTATGATTATGTCATGAAGATGAAACAAAATCAGCTGTCAAACAAAACAAAAAATGTTCCGGTTAACTTTAAAGAAACAAAAAAGTAGCTTACTTCTGTCTTCTTCTTTTAGTGTTGGAAAGGATCCCTTGCAACACAATTAAGTATACGTGTCAACTGGTTATGCGCCATTGACTCTGATTTCAGCCTGCTTTTCTTTTTGGATTTGCTTCGATAGCCTTTGTCCAGCCAAGAACCAACTACAAGGTAGCAGTTGTTTGATTTTCGGAGTTGTCTCTCCTAGAACGAGCCTCATCTGCCCGAGGGTTCGAACTTGAGACCTTTCGGTTTAGCAACCATGAGTAACCATGAGCTTTACCGACTCGACCAGACCGACCCTTACTTCTGTTAAAAATGCTGTTATCGACGAGTTACACAATGGTGTAATAATTTCAAGAAAATCACCTCAAGAGGGTGTATTAGCTATTGGCTATTTTTATTACACGACTACAGTTTCTTTCAGACATTTTTCTTCGGAGGGGGGTGTAAGGGGGGGGGGGGCGAAATTGTAAATTCTGAGGAGGGCGCACCATAATTAAAGTATAAATTTTCTTTTAATTTTTATACATGTTTTTATATTTTTATTATTGAAATTATTTTCTATTTCTTATTTTTTTTTATAAATGTTTTTATATATTTTTTATATTTCGTACGAGGGGTTGGGGGGGGGGGGGGGGGGGGTTGAGCGTGGACGTGCTCCATGTCGCTGGACTTAACTAAAATTGATGACTTCCCCTGTGAATTGTTTGGGTCAGTTTGCCTGCTTGTCCCAAGCTAGAATGAAAGGCGTTAAGCTAGTGCCAGCCAGAATTCTCCAGCCACCCGTCTTGTTTACATGCCTCGTTGACAGCCTTGACCTTGTTGATTAGCCGCTACCTTTCACTGATTGCGTAACGAAATTAAGCTGGGTGCATTCATGTAGAGCTGTCATGTAGTTGTATGGCCATACATCGATAACAAATTGTATTAGCTTAATTAGTTTATAGACTAATTAGATTAATTTCATGCTTGTTTTATTTTTACCCTGTGGTTTGGAACAGGGTAAGCTAAAATGATTTGGTTATATTTGACTTAAACATACGCACACATATATATATATATAAATATATATATATACATATATAAAAATACACACACATATATATAAATACACACACACACATATATATATATATATATATATATATATATATATATATATATATATATATATATATATATATATATACATACATACATACAGACATATATGAAACGAGAGAAGGGGGGGGGGAGACTATATCAGCGACCTCAGTCTATTTTTGACACCTTTTAATTTCTAGGTATCCCCCCCCCCCTCGCTCCTCACCGCCACAAAAAGCACTCCTTGAATGATGTCACCTCCAACAACCCTCAACATTGCAGTTTTGGTTTTTAAAACAACTTTTTCTTTAGCTCATCAGTCACTTTATTTTACCAAACAAAAAAAGCGAAATGACGGCTGAAAATCAGTTTGCAATATTATTTTGTAAACGACTAAAGCGTGGTCACACTTTCTGAAAGCCCTCCGTCTTCCCATCGTCAAAAATTGTCACAAAATTCCAAATATCCCCTCTCCCCTTGGATTAAGAAGTCGAGACGACCCCCCCCCCCCCCCCCCCCAGCACTAAATACACATTAGACAAAGACATCACATGTTACCTATAACAATTACATGACACCAAAATAAACCGTTGGTTATGTCCCCTCATGTCCAAGGTCTGTTCTGTAAGAATCCTTTTATCTCCCCTGATATCTGCTTGTGAAGGTGTTTTCGTTGAATTAAGCTTTAGGACACTGTACACAACCCCAGTAATACCAGTAGAAGACAAACAAGCACGTAGTTGGAGAAGTGGAAACGATAGTTCTCTCCCTTTATGGTTTGTAGCTTGTTAAAAAGGGATGTCTGTTGCCCAAGGAAAGACGTCTAGCGCCCACACGGAGGAAGACATCGCAATTAGTCGCCATTTTGGTGGCAACGTGTGTTGCATCATTTCCGGTTCCGGTGAAAATGTTTTTAACCTCCAAGTATTTAGAGCAGAGGGGTTTTCTGGCGTGTTTTTGAAATGTGTTTTTTTTTTTTAAAGATTGTATTTTTAAAGCAAATGCGTTTGTGACTGCAGTTTATTCGGGAATAGTTGACTGGTTGGTCTCTACGACTAAACCTTTTATCCACACATCCGATTTGGATTTTAATAAACACAGCCTAAAAATTTAAGTAAAAATCTGGGGGAAAAATTCATTATCCCACTCATCATGTACCACCACATTTCTGCTAACGTTACTTATCTTCTACAAGCTCCATCACGTTTCTACTTTATTTTCTCTAACATTTCTGCCTCCATGTTCCAACAGTTCCATCAAATTTATTTTTCTTGCTACTTCAAATTTTGGTTCGTGTTCCCTTATAAACTTTCATCGTGGTCTTTTATTCATTTGCTTCCTGTTCCCTCATTTATTTTTCCTGTTCCCTCATATTTCTGCTTCCTTTTCCCTCATTTCTTTTTCCTGTTCCCTCATATTTCTGCTTCCTGTTCCCTCATATTTCTTTTTCCTGTTCCCTCATATTTCTGCTTCCTGTTCCCTCATATTTCTGCTTCCTGTTCCTTCATATTTTTGCTTCTTGTTTCCTCATATTCCTGCTTCCTGTTCCCTCATATTTCTGCTTCCTGTTCCCTCATATTTCTGTTTCCTGTTCCCTCATATTTCTTTTTCCTGTTCCCTTATATTTCTGCTTCCTGTTCCCTCATATTTCTGCTTCCTGTTCCCTCATATTTCTACTTCTTGTTCCCTCATATTTCTTTTTCCTGTTCCCTCATATTTCTTTTTCCTGTTCCCTTATATTTCTGCTTCCTGTTCCCTCATATTTCTGCTTCCTGTTCCCTCATATTTCTGCTTCCTGTTCCCTCATATTTCTGCTTCCTGTTCCCTCATATTTCTGTTTCCTGTTCCCTCATATTTCTTTTTCCTGTTCCCTCATATTTCTGTTTCCTGTTCCCTCATATTTCTTTTTCCTGTTCCCTTATATTTCTGCTTCCTGTTCCCTCATATTTCTGCTTCCTGTTCCCTCATATTTCTTTTTCCTGTTCCCTCATATTTCTGCTTCCTGTTCCCTCATATTTCTACTTCTTGTTCCCCAGCCTGTTCCAGACCGAGCCAGACTTGAAGCGACTGTTCCCTAAGATCGTACAGATGAATGAGAAGAATGAGCTGGAGTGGGATGTCGACAAGGACATGTTGCAGGTAAGGATGTTCGCAGGTGGATGTTGCAGGTAAGGATGTTCGAAGGTGGATGTTGCAGGTAAGGACATCCACAGGTAGATGTTGCAGGTAAGGACATCCACAGGTAGATGTTGAAGGTAAGGATATCCACAGGTAGATGTTGCAGGTAAGGATGTTCACAGGTAGATGTTGCAGGTAAGGATGTTCACAGGTAGATGTTGCAGGTAAGGATGTTCGCAGGTAGATGTTCCTTGTAAGGATGTTCATCGTAGATGTTCCAGGTAAGGATGTTCGCAGTTAGATGTTGCAGGTAAGGATGTTCGCAGGTAGATGTTCCTTGTAAGAATGTTCATCGCAGATGTTGTAGGTAAGAATGTTCACACGTAGATGTTGCAGGTAAGGACATCCACAGGTAGATGTTGCAGGTAAGGATGTTCACATGCAGATGTTGCAGATAGTGATATTTAGATGTAGATTTTGAAGATTATGGTGTTGGTATGTAAATGTTGCCGGTAATGATGGTCACAGGTAGATGTTGCAATGACTCCCCATGATACCATTATCTCTCATCCAGCTCGGATGAGTCAAAATGTACATTGGTTAGGCCAGGTCCAGTACACAAATAAATGCTAGATTCATCCAACATTTGACCTGATTACCGGAGGTCCACTAACCAAATGTTGACCGTCCACAGAGACACGCCGTGACGGTGATGGAGGGGCTGGGTGCGGCCGTGGAGAGTCTGGACGATTCGGATTTCCTCAACAGTGTCCTGGTGTCCATAGGTCAGACGCACGTCAAGAGGAGCGTTAAGCCGCAGATGTTGAGGGTGAGTTGTCTTTTGGTGTCTGATTGACGCACGTCAACTATGTGAGTTGTCTTTGGTCTCACATGACGTCTACATAGGCCGATGTACTCTCACATGACGTCTACATAGGCCGATGTACTCTCATATGACGTCTACATAGGCCGATGTACTCTCACATGACGTCTACATAGACTGATGTACTGTCATATGACGTCTACATAGGCCGATGTACTCTCACATGACGTCTACATAGACTGATGTACTGTCATATGACGTCTACATAGGCCGATGTACTCTCACATGACGTCTACATAGGCCGATGTACTCTCACATGACGTCTACATAGGCCGATGTACTCTCATATGACGTCTACATAGGCCGATATACTGTCATATGACGTCTACATAGGCCGATGTACTCTCACATGACGTCTACATAGACTGATGTACTCTGACATGTCTACATAGGCCGATGTACTCTCCCTGACAATACATTAGACATATCAAAGCTGTTGAACAAATCAGTTTCCTGTCTCTTGAAGCTGTCTTTAGACTGTAAGGATTTGTGATAGACTAAGTAGTTTTTAATGGTGCTCGACGAAGTGTCGGTGGGCGGGGGGGGGGGGAGCAATAAACATCGAGTGTGTCGTCATTCGCCATATTTGCTGAATATTTACCTACGTACGTCTCCAGCCCATCCTACTTGTTCTGTATCTGTTATATTCAGTTGTGTGCTGCTAATAGCCTACAACAAGACACAAGAAGCATGAGCACCCTATCTAAATTATCTAAATTAGTGCTATCCAATCTAGACAAATACTGTAGTAACTCAACTTTCAATATAAAAAAATTGTATTGCTCTTGTTAAGAAGACAGAATTATCGATAATTGCTCATGTTGGTTAAACATATAAATTTCAAAGAATTAAAGGAAAAATTCCAGTTCACACACCATAGCCAGAGTTTCTAACAAGAAAGTCTACTATTTATACAGGCAAGCAATTTGTAATAAAATATATTAAACAAGCGATCTTTAAAAAAAAAAGTATTTCTCTGAAACCCCTGTATTTTTTAAAGTCTAGACAGTGACGTCAGGGGCATCCTGATGGGTATGTTGAACGTCTGGTTAAAGACGTCATATTCCTGGTTTACCAGAGTTTCTTCCAGGCATCTCTTCGGGGGGGGGGGGGGGCTTTACACCCCCGAAAAATTTTTACCGACCCCCCCCCCCCAAACGAAATGAAATTTATATAATTTATATAGAAAATAAATACTTTTAACAGTGTCCGCCCCCCCCCCCCCGAAGAAAGTTTACCGCCCCCCCCCCCCTCCGAAAATTTCAAGTGCCCCCCCCCCCCCCCCCGGAGAAATAAGTCTGGAAGAAACACTGTGATTTACTTTATACATATTTCACATATTCGGCTGTGTTAAACTGTACCTTCGATCCATTACATCTGAACCAACTGCTACTGTTATATTTTTTATGAGCATAAGATAGAATTTGCCAAGTTTTTTTTTAATTGTTGAAAGTGTTGTATTTTTATAATTTTGTGAGTTCAATTATCTGTGAAAAATGTGTATTTTTCTAACAGAAACTGGTGAATTGTGTTTTTATTATATAAGTTATCGAACTGCTTTTACTGTTGCATTAAAATTTTATCAAATAGAAAAACCAAACCAAAGTTAAAATAAAAATTTTATTATTTTGTTTATTTTCTGTCGCTGTTTCAAGCTAATGTTCAGTTTTTTATGGTTGGTTGGTCAATTGGTACGTGTATTTACCGTAGAAGATGGTGATTTCTTTATGATAGGTTGGTGAATTGGTGTATTGTTTAGTGTAGAAGATGGAGAATTTTTCTTATGATAATTTATACTGTAAAGAGACAACATCCATGAAATTCATGAGCTAAGAACACTAAAACTAGTGTATTTATTACATAAGAGCCGACCCGCGGCGTATCATACGCCGCTATTTAGTTGTTTTATTTTCTACTTTACAGTAATTCATAATTTGTGAATTCGACAGTACCAATGCTGCCACTGAAAATATTTGCTTTACAACACTATCAGTACCTCGTTAAGGACGATAACCCTCCCCCCCCCCCCTCCTTTCCCCCAACCCCTACCCCACACGCCCCCCCCCCCCGCGCGAAAGCAGCCTCCTCTTAGTTACCTCCCCTAAGTTTAAAATCGTTTCAAACTAAATTATCTGCCCCTAATAGCCGTCACTAAACCCGGCTCTACGATTGTAAACATTTAGCGTGAACCAAAGCTCACCAGACCATGTGGGGGTGGTAAGGATATGCCTAAAAAGGGGCGCTTACAGCTTGGTGTTTTCTGGGGTATCCAAGAAGAGAATTATATATATAGATGTTTAAAAGACGTTAATAAACTATTATGGTTTATTTAAAAGCACAAAATATATTATTGAGATAGTTCAAACATGAGGTTTGTCTTTATTACCTGTCACGGTCACTTCAGTGCGAGACAGTTATCATATTATGTAGGTTAGCTCCTATGGCTATGATTATTATTAACGACGTTGTACGGTAATGTTCTATTTCATTCACAAACGAAATGAAGCCAATTTAAGTAATAAAAATTTCGACGCTGTTTTTTTTTATAATGGGGTGGTGATAGATTTAATATGTAGAGCATGTGAATTTTATGATGGGGGACGAGGGGTTGTGGTGGTGTGATCTGGGATAGTTTGGGTACTTTGGAGTGCAGAAGATGCAGGGTATTGTGGGACGGGGGGGGGGGGGTCTGCAGTCAGACTGTCTTTCAACGGATTTAGAAACCAATTCTGTTGCACGCCGGTGACCTTTTTGAGAAAAACCATTGTGTCGAGGCTGATTTGTTTGCACGATCCGACTTGTTGAGGCTAAAGATCCGCCAGTTCTCTTGTCCCATGCATCGCGACCTAAAAGATGTAATGAATCGCTACAAATATAGAAAATTTTGTTTCACTAAAACCTTCACGTCATGGGTCAGCTAAACATTTAATTCTATACTGAGCCACAACAGTCATGTATATGGTTTCTTTCTTATATAAATCACCCACCACCCACCTTTCCATTATGTTATGTAACACGACACCCTTCCCATCTCAGACGGAAATGACCCCCAACCATCTCAAACGGAAATGACCCCCAACCATCGACCCACCTGGTGTTAAACCTATCCCTGATGTCCCCACATGACCTGACTGCTATTCCGTCCAGCTCTTTGTTCGTGTAAGGCAATAAATATTTCAACACCTTTTGGGACACAATGATGGGAATAAGAGATAATCTCAAACATTAAAATAAAAGATAAACGCTTCCAATAAACCACTCACAATGAACAGTAAATAATAGATAAACGCTTTCAACAAAACACAAAAACTCCGACCTTTAAAAATGCGTAACGGCACTAACGTTAAGCCGCTGGCCAGATTTCTGGCATGTTTGTAATGAAAACGTCCAAACCAGAAACTCCAGAACATTTTTTCTAGAGATTTCTTTCGTCTTTTATTTTTTGTGAAGCTCCTTCTGGGTATTATCCACAATTACGATTTTTTCCACACCATTTCCTAAACGGTCGAAAAAAGTGGGTTGAACTATATCACCTAAACGGTCGAAAAAAATGGGTTGAACTATATCATCTAAACGGTCGAAAAAAAGTGGGTTGAACTATATCACCTAAACGGTCGAAAAAAGTGGGTTGAACTATATCAACTAAACGATCGAAAAAAATTGAGTTGAACTATATCACCTTACGCCATTAAGGTGACCAAAAAAGACGATTTGGTCAAAGCCTTACTTACAGATTAATGTAGTTCAAGAAGTACATATTATCAATATCGACATGCAAATGAGTCTTTGTAAAACCTACATTTATTTTACATATACATCTATAATAAAATTAGCAAAGTGACAACCCCGACTAACAATCCCTCATTTGACGTTTTACTTTATGTGGAGGGATAGAAAAATAAGTTTTTTTTTCTGTTATTGAGTTTAAATGTTTTGTCTTTGCTGGAGGAGACGAAGGGGGAGGAGGGAGGGGGTGGGGTAAGGCTTGAGACGACTCAGACCATAGACTGCAGGAAAACCTTTCTTAAATTTGGGGAGGGGATGTGTGGGTTGATTTCTTTGAAGTGTGGTGTCAATGAACGTGAGCGGGGAATCCAAATGAAGCAAAAACTGTTTTATTGTTTCCACAGAATGTAGCTGTTGGGTTCAATGTTTTAAATATCAGTTGAATGACCTCTTATCGTCGTTTATACATTAACTAAATAGCAATTAGACACGTGTAGACCTTTTACACACACACCAACTCCCCCAGATAATCGATGCACTCACACCTCACACGGACCCCAACAAATGACTGTACTAACACCCTCACCCCACACAAACCACCCCTTGTAACCAGATCATCAGCAGTTTCTTTCAAGCATCTCTCCGGGGGACGGCACGTGAACACGTTAACTCGCCCCCCCCCCCCCCTTACCCTTACCCACCCCCCGGCCGAAAAAAGAAAAATATACAATGCTCATTGAAAATATATACTTTACCCTGTGTCAGCCCCCACCCCCACCCCTCGTAACCCCGAAAATTCTCAGTGCCACCCCCTCTTCCCGAAATTTTCAAGTTTCCCCTCCCCTCTGAAAAATGTCTGAAAGAAACCCTGGTCATCCGCTATACTCCTTTTGGTGTGACGCTAATTTGACCGGAAGTGGCGCCAATCGATGCATTGTGGGAAAATGGGCGGGAAAACTTGAACACAGGCAAATCATAACTGACAAAATACTGACCTCATTGGGAGATTCGACCCTTCATTGACTTATTTCAAGTGATTAGTTTAGTGATTAAATACGCCATCACCTTACAGCAAACATGCAGTAATAACATGTATGTTACCATATGTGACGAGTGTAGCATCACAACATGACGTGTTATTGATTTCCCCGAGTTGATCATAACCGAAGATAAACTCTGACTCACGGGATTTAAATATGGCGCTGCGATTTTTTTTACAC